AGACTTAAGAAATGTCCTGTTTTATAGGGTGTTAGTGACTTTTTTTTTTCCTGGTCGCTAGGTGGCGCCAGAGATCTCTCCTATTGTCCTTGGGGGGCTGTTTTTCGCCTCCCCCCACCCCGTGGGACAGAGAACAGAGCGGGAATGGTAGGGTACACCTCAACAGCTTTGGGGTGCTGTGTCTGCCTTGTGCCCCACCGTCGTGGAGAAACCACGCCCCGAATTTTCGTGCCCCGGGTCTCAGTTCAAAGCCCTCAGGTCCAGGACGCGGGCTGTAGCCCAGTTCAGTGGCGCGGGAATGGCGCCTTTTGCACCCGGCTCCCGTGCCTGGGCGCCTGGTTCCTGCTTACTCAGGGAGGGACCTTCACCTCAGTGAGGACCTCCGTGCGTCTCCCCGCAAGCCTAGGTCGTCTCCCCGCAAGCCTAGGTCGCAGGCGCGGGGACCTGGGCAGCCGCGATCCCGGTCTGCACTTGCTTTTCAAGCTCCCCGAGCGCGCCGCGTTTCCCGCGCAGGCTTACCGGCAGCCCGGGCTGTGTGCGCGTCTCCCGGGGTCTTTGTTCTTCTCTAATGGCGCCCGGAGCCGTTCGCTCACCGCCGCGGCAGATCCTGCAGGGTTCGCCTCAGCTCCCGTTCACGGGGTGTGGTGGCTGCAATAGTTCCTTTCCGCTCACAGTCCCGCTTGCTGCGTCGTTTGTTCTTGTTGGTTGTTTTGGTTTGTTGTTTCCTCCTCTCTGCCGGTCGGAGAGTGCCGCCTCTGTGGGCGGGGGAGGGGAGCAGGGTTCTCCATTTTCTTTCTTCTTGAGCTGCAATTAGATGACAATGAAGGGTCAGGGAGCCCTGGGAGAAGAGCTAGAGACTTGCAGTGCTTGGTCTTTTCACCTCTGAAGATACCTATGGGATTTGGTCAAGTCAATTTGATTTAGTATTTAAACTCTTTGTTTGCTTTTTTTTTTTTTCCTGTTTGTTTTTAAGATTTATTATTTATTTATACAAGCACTGGGTACAGTCAGAAGTGCGGAAGGGTGAGAGAATTCACCAGAGCCAGAGCGGCGAACAGAACAGGCAGACTGACGAAGTACACTGCTGAGGGGAGCAGCAGGCAGCAGGAGAGGTCTGCGCGCCATGTGGGACCCTCGCCCGGTGGCCGGGGATCGAACTGTGCTGCAGAGGCTGCGGGCAGCTTCGCAGCCCAGCGCTCAACCATTGCGCCACCAGAGGAGGCCCTGCTTTTTTTTGCTTTTTAAGTACAAACTGCAAAGTGTAAATAAATTACTCTCCTTTCATAATTAGCAGAAGGACATGACCAAACAGGATCATTTCAGTTTTCTTCTGTTGATACTGCCTTCTTCTTGCCCCAAAATGCTAATGATAGTCTTCCATCTCCACCTCCCTTACAGACATTATGATTTGAGAACCTGTCCATTTTGTCTCTTAAAATCAGGTAAAGCTAGAGTCTCTAGAGAGGGAACATAAGCAATACAGAGAGTGGGATGTGTGTGGGGGTGGGGGTGGGGGTGGGGGTAAAGGCTACATATCCATTCTAGACATACCTTCCTTCATTCTTCTCTTTAACAAAGACAGTGTATTTATAATGTGCTTACCACAAACAAACATGATTGGTCTGTTAAAAATCTGTTTTGCTGTTTTGATTTTCTTTTTTCATTGTACCTGTCTGTGTCATTCCTGTTAATAGCAAGATTAATAGGCAAAACCTACTAAATGTTTAAGCAAATTTTAAAACTGAACCTCTTGTACATAAATAAATGAATGAAATTGCTTGGTTCTGTTTTTGCAATTTTGTGTGTTGTACTTCTGCAACTCCTCCATCATTATCCCGGGATCTTTCGAGTACCCACCTAGACATGGATCTTTCGAGTACCCACCTAGACATGACCTTCACCAGTTTGCAGTTTCCTTAATTAATTGCTTAAGTTATTCTTCTTAATAGTGGTTAAATGAGCATAGACTGTCAGCATTAAAACTTTCACAAATGAAGTATTTGGCTAAATTATTTTATTTATTTATTTTTTGTGTAGAAGATCTGGGATATAGATCAGAGATGGAAAGGGTGAGAGGATTCATCAGAGACATGGGGAGCAGAAAAGGCAGATTTACTGAAATACACTGCTTAGGAGAGCAGCGGATGAGACAGGAGAGGTCTCCTGTGCCGTATGTGGGTTAGCTCCCTGGCTCGGGATCAAACTCAGGCCATAGTGGTGATAGTGCTGAGCGTTAGCTCCTAGGCCACCAGGGACATGCTGAAGGATTTGGCTTTAAAGAAGCATTATGAGCAAAAACATTTTTAAGTCATTCTGAAAAGATGGCTCACAGAACTGGTATTGCAAAGAAATATATGACTTTTATGCCAAAGATAATGCTACTTTTAAAATAAGTATATTGTTCACACAAAAATTGTATATGAATGTACATAACAGCATTATTCATAATAGCCAAAAAAGTGTAAATGACCAAATGTTCAGCAGTTGATCAACAGATAGATAAGACATGGTATATCTATACTGTGGATTCTTCAACAGTTAAAAAAAAAAAAAGTATGGATAGACACACTATAATATGGATGAAATTTGAAAACATGCTAGGTGAAAGAAGTCAGACCATGTACTATATGATACTATTTATCATATCATACAGCCCATATACTGTATGATACTATTTATCTGTAATGTCCAGTTTAGGCAAATCCATAGAGACAGAAATTTGTTTAGTGGTTGCCAAGTTTGGTGGGGGGTGGGAGGGGCTAGGATGATGAGAGCAGAAATGGAGAATAACTGCTTAATGAGTCCAGGGTTTATTTTTGGAAGGGTAAAAATGTTTTGGAACTAGATGCACAGCATAATGAAAGCATTAAAAGCCACTACAGTATACATTTTCAAATAATTTCATGTTACATGAATCTTATTTCTATTTTAAAAAAGAAAGAAATTAAGTACAGATACATACTAAAATATGGATGAACTTTGAGAACATTATGCTAAGTGAAAGAAGCCAGACCCAAAAGGTCACATATTGTCTGATTCCATTTATATGAAATGTCCAGAATAGGCAAATCTGTATAGACAAAAAGAAGATGAGTGGTTGCCTAAGGCTGAAGGGGGTTTAGTAGAAAATGGGGAGTGACTGCTAATGGATACAGGATTTCTTTTGGGGGTGATAAAAATGTTTTAAAATGGATTGTGGTGCAGATTACACACTGCAAATATATGGAAAACCACTGAACTATACATTTTAAGTGGATGGATTGTATGGTTTGAGTGGCATATGTCAACAAAATTTATATTAAAGAAAGATGTGTATACATCTAAACTTTTGAAAAATTGAGTTATTTCAGGGGCAGCTAGGACAGGATGCTACCTGCAGCCTAAAGAATACTGTCTCTTAGTTTATCTAATGTATAAGTTGTCATTTTTATGAATTGAGTTTTTTGAAAAGCAGGACTCCCAACAAACATTTAAGCAGATGAATGAAAAAGAATCAGGGATATAGAAATAAACATAAGTTTTTAAGGACAGTTTGTATATGATAAAGATTTTTTAAATGATATTCAACAAATGGTGTGAGATCTAGTTATCTATTAAAAAAAGTTTCATTCTTACCTTACTCCTTTCCCCAAAATAAACTGCAACATGATTAAATATGTCCATATGAAAAAGAAAATTATGAAGTACTAGAAGAAATATACTGAATGTTTTCATGATCTTGGGGGGTGAGGAAGATCTTCCTAAATTAAATCCAGAAATCAGTTAAAACTGTCCTCCATCGTGGCATCTTTCCCAACTACTCCAGTACATATGGCTATTTCTTCCTTACCTGAACTTCTTTGGATTTATTTATTTATTAGGTTTTAAAATTTATTTTTATTAATTTATGCATACAAGAACTGGCACGCAGGCCAGAGGTGCAGGGGGTGAGGATTCATCAGAGACAGAGTGGGGAGCAGAACAGGGGACTCCACCAAAATGCATTGTTGAGGGGAACAACGGGCGAGGCAGGAGAGGTCTGCTGTGCCATGTGGGTCAGCACCCTGGCTGAGGATGGAACCCATGCCTCAGCAGCTGCTGACAGTTTGATAGTGCTGAGATTTTATCCCCTGCACCACCAGGGAGGCCCCTTCTTTTGATTTAGACAAAAATACCTGACTAGAAAGGGAAGTGAGCATATTGTATCTGCCAACTCCAGACAACTTGGCAGTGATTACTCAGTACTGTAGTACTGAAAGAATTCTTAGTGGCATTTGACCTCAGTGTCAGTATTGTAATCAATTATTGATGTCTATCCTGGGCATAGGATAGGTAGCACAAATTACTTGCATTTCCCCTGCATTTTAAGTACCTAAAGCCTAGGCACCATATCTTATACTTTGTGTTCTTCTTAGTAATGTGTGTTTGTGTTGTTATTGTGCTTATATTCCCTCAGAATTTCTCATGAAGCCAGGCACAGGAGTACTGAAAAAACACTGTGATAATACTAGGGAAAAAAAAATACCAGGAAGAGTACAGCAGCAATCTGAAAATAGGAGCACAATAGTTTCCAGGCATAGAAATTATCTCAGATTTGACCTTTACTTTATGGTTGAAGCAATGAAGGTGACAGGGAGTGGGTGCAATGAGAATGGGCACATCTTAACTTTTTGTCGTTAAACAGAACCTGTTTACCTTCAAACTGTACCCACTGCATGTGGGCTTTGTATGTGGATGGAAAACAGAGAAGTTTATTTAAGCAGAGAAAGCTACCCAGGGAGTAAGAATCAAATACCTATTTATGGAATAGAATGAACTGAAAAACCTCTAGGTGTTCCATGCAGGTCAAGTTTTAATTTCTCTGGCAAGAAGCTTGCAAACTTTTGACCAACCAGGTTAACAGAGCAGCAGCATCAACTGCCAGATCCTCCCATGGCCCAATAAGTCTCTTTCCTGTTCTCAATTCTGTTTGCTGATTTAAATTCACTCTAACTCATTCTAGCACTTGCACCCCATTGTAGCCTGCAGGAGCCCAGTCTCAGGCCTGCTTTTTGAGGTGATCCTCATCTCATCTCAACCCACAAGGACTTACCCACGGAAAGCCCAGGCCATGAAAACTCCCTTGGTCTCAGCAACTGGAAAATCTGTGTCATCAGAGATTTCGCTAGAAAAGTCATCTCTTCCGCTCCCTGCAGTTTTGAAGAAGCAAGGAACAAGTGAAGAGGCACGTGATAGTTCTTGGTATTTGCAGTTTGTGAAAGTACTTTTACATTCATATCCCATTGAGTTGATCGTCATGATATAAAAAACTAGGGCCAGGGGCCTACACCTTTTTTCTTGAAGTAAATCTGTCTTACAAGAGCAATTTTTGCCAAAGTTCATAAAAACGGTCTTTCTTTTCTGCTGGCAAAGCATACTTCCCTCCCTACCCTGATGAGGAAGTCTAGTCTCCAAGTGGAAGGAAAGCTTGGGAATTCGCTCAGTTGGGAAGGATGTGCTTATACCATGGGCAGTGATGTCTGTGTTTTGGAAAGGGAAAGGGAATGAAATTTTTAGGCTGCAAGCCTCTTAGGAGACAGCTGGGATGGATCTATTTTTGGGTGCCTTTTCTGTTTATTCAAGAAACTCAAAAGGTAACCAAGCACCTGGCAGGTTTCCTGTTGGGAAAGTTGCTAAGGGCTAGAGAGTTTCAGCATGCAATGAGGCTATGAAGTTTGACTTCATCAATGTGAAGCAGAGAGGATGTGGTCCCCCCACTTTTTTTTTAAATCATAGTTTCACCGCATACTTGGGGATAGCACAAATTCACAAGTCATAAAAGTCTGAGCCACAGGACACCAGGGTGGTACATTGTAGGATTCAAGAATGGACGCTTGTGTTATGTACCTGTCACTTTCTGACTGTGTGATCACTGGCACATGACTTAACCTCTCTAAGCTCAGTTTCCCTGTCTGTAAAGTGAAGGATTAAATCAAACGATCTCTAAAGCCCATTTTATTTTTTTTATTTTTTATTTTTTTAAAGATTTATTTTTATTTATTTATACAAGCACTGGGTACAGTCAGAATCGCGTGAGGGTGAGAGAATTCACCAGAGCCAGAGCAGGGAGCAGAGCAGGCAGAAGGACCGAAGCACACTGCTGAGGGGAGCAGCGGGGCAGGAGAGGTCTGCGCACCATGTGGGACCCTCCTCCTGTGGCCGGGGAGCAGCCGGGGATCGAACCGGCGCTGCAGAGGCCGCGGGCAGCTTCTCAACCCAGCGCTCAACCGCTGCGCCACCGGGGAAGCCTCTAAAGCCCATTTTAGCCTTACTTGTCTATGACACACACACAGGCAAGATAATTAGCCTTCATGTGACTTGTTCCCTGATCCACAAAATAGAGATAGAAATAGACTATCTCTGTTTTTATTGTGAAAAGTAAAAAAGATAATAAATGTAAATAGCTTGGCAAAGTCCCCCTCATAAACTAAATGCTCAATACCTGTGAGTTACTATGGTAGGGTTCTTGGGTGTGGTGATATCAGAGGTGTGTTTGTTAGGGCAGCAGACAATAAAAATATGTGCCTTAAAACTTGTTATGTTGCCCTGTAGGCAACATTGACCACTTTTGCTTGTGGAGTAACCTTGGCTTAACAGGTAAAGGAAAATAAGGCAACAGTATGTTTGGAGTTTTAAGAGCCAAGAACACACTTCTGTTCAGCCACTAATGGTAAGATGATCTATTACACCATGTAAAATTGAAATCTGAGTTTTTGTGACCTGCTTGTCACAATCAACTCTGGAAATCCAGCCTCCTCAGCTAGGGTCCCATCCCACCTTGTGCACTATCCTGTTATAACACTGCTGAGTGTAGGGGAGGAATTTGGCACCCAAGAGGGGCTTGTCTTTGCTCCTTCTGTGGGCTTCAGTGACTGAATGAGTTGGTGAGGAAGAGCACACCTGGCTCTCTCCCACCCCCAACAGAAATTAAGAGACGAATTCCTGGGCCTCCCCGGTGGCACAGCGGTTGAACGCTAGGTTGCCAAGCTGCCCACAGCCTCTGCGGCGCCGGTTCGATCCCCGGCTGCTCTCCGGCCACCAGAGGAGGGTCCCACATGGCGCGCAGACCTCTCCTGCCGCCCGCTGCTCCCCTCAGCAGTGTACTTGGGTTCTTCTGACTGCTCTGCTTCCCACTCTGGCTCTGGTGAATTCTCTCACCCTCCCGCGCTTCTGACTGTACCCAGTGCTTGTATGTATGTATGTATAAATCAATCAATCAATCAATCTTTAAAAAAAAAAAAAAAAAGAGAGACGAATTCCTTAATAGTTTGGCCAGGATTTCAACACTACTTAAAAACTAAGGGATTACTTCTAGGTCCTGGTATAATATTATTTAGAACTGGAGAGTCTGGTTTTTTGCCTGAGGCCTGCTTAAAGTCACCTGGACAGAGCTCCCTGAAGTCCTATAAGGTCCAGCATGCCCACAAACTGCTGCTGAGCTTAAGCCAACATCAGCTTCTGGGAAGCTGGGGGTCGGGGGGTGGGGACAAGGCCCTGTGGGTGACTTCTCTTATGTGTCATAATTAGCACACTTTGTTTCTCCCCTGACACACCACAGGCAGTGCAGAGCTCCTAGCTTTAGTATTTCCCTTGTGTAATGGTGTTTCTTTTGATACTCCCTCAACACAGTAAGAAAACTACCATCCTGGGAATGTGAGAAATGCTTTCCTTGCCTTACAATCAACCTGATAGTTGGAGAATTAAGCACTTTCCCTCTTCACTTTGTTTTCTTTTTCTTCCAAGGCACTTAGTTAAGGAAAATGGTTGGTACAGTGTGTCCAAAGATGAGGATCAAACATTTGATTTCCTCCTGGACACTTAACTGTTTCTGTTCCCTCCTTTGCCACCTACAGCACCCCTCAACTTAATGTGAAAAAAGGCCATTTGTCAAGAGAGGGTTTATTCAAAGATATTATGAGGTCAGCTTCTATGGCTGCGCGGGTTGTCTATTGCCCAAATGCAGGGTGGGGCTATCATTACCATAGACTACAGGGAATAGCCCTGGAGTGGAACAATGCACAATTTGCACAATCAAATGTTTAAGTCAAAATATGGACTAGCCATAGCATCCTGTCTTTCAGGAAGGATTCCCAAAATTTAAAACATGTACTCTGTTTAGCACAAAGGGGGCCAGTGTAGTGTATAATTAAAGGTTAGCGAGGAGCCTGGGAAGAAATGTCTCTATTGGTCTTAGTAACTTCTCGTTTCATTTAACTCAGGCTAGCTATCAATTGTATAATCAGGTCTCCATTTTAATGCACACCAAATTTATGGTGTACTTACAGCATGTATAACATCACTTTTGTGTTAACTTCATTCCTGGTGTTATTTCAACCCTACCAGGGCCTATTGTGTGCCAGGCTCTATTCACATGGAGACACCAGTAAAGAAAAAGGTAAAGTCTATTTCATGTTGCTACTCTTGTTTTGCTTTTTCTGTCTTATCTACTTCTAATCTATTAATACTTGCTTTACCAACTACTTAAACCCTTTTTGTATCAAGATAGTGTATAAATTAAGTAAATATTACAAAATTATATGTACCTAACAAAAAAGCACAAAAATTTATGAAGCAAAACTGACACAATTGAAGAGAGAAATAGACAATTCAACAATAACAATTGGAGACTTTAACAGTGCACTTTCCATAATGGCCAGAACAACTAGGCAGAAGATCAACAAGGAAATAAAAGACTTGAACTACATTGTAAGTCAAGTGGACCTAATAGACACCTATAGAATAACAGCAGAATATCTTGTCTTCTCAAATGGACATGGAACATTTTCAGGATAAATCATATGCTAGGACATAAAAAAAACCTCTGTAAATTGAAAAGGATTGAAATAATGCAAAGTATGTTTTTCAACCACAACGTAATTAAATTAGAAATCAGTAACAGATAGAAATTTGAGAAATTCACCAATATGTAGAAATTAAGGCATACACTATTAAATAACCAACAAACAACAGAACTTAAAATATGCAACTAAAATAAGTAGTGATCACCCTTAGCATTTCTTAATTTAATTTTAGAGAAAAAATAAGAGACTATTCTATTATAGTTTCAGGTGCTGGGCTGAAAGCTTCAGTACTTGTCCATATTTGGTGCTCAGTTAATGTTTGTTGACTGAATGAATGAATTGTGATCAGGCGGTAGGAAGGTAAGCCCAGAAATTGAGTCCTATTTGGATTCCTACTCCACTGGCCCTTTCCTTTACTACTTTTTTGTATAAGCCATTTGTGTTTATCATCCCTTTTAAATTCCTATTCTTCTGTCTCTCTCCCTTCCCTTTTCAGTAAGCCTTCTTCATTACTTTGTGGCTTACTTTTCCTACTCAAGCTCTTAGCACATAAATTTGTTCTGCTACTAAGCTAGGAGGGGTTTGCAGACTACTGCTTGGGGTCCAAAGTCAACCTGTAACAGGGTGGTGGCCTGTAACAAACCTACCGCCTGTTTTTGTATAACCAAGAGAATGCTTTTTAGCATTTTTAAACAGCTGAAAATCAAAAAATTGAAAGTATTTCATGATATGTGAAAGTTACATGAAATTCAGATTTCAGTGTCCATGAATAAAGTTTTATTAGAACCCATCTTTTCCAGTTTGTTTGGCATTGTTGTGACAGAGCTTCTGGTCCACAAAGTCCCAAATATTGATTATCCTTACATAAAAGTTTACAGATCCCTGTTCTAAGCTTCTGTGCAAGAATACTCATTACTTGATAGACTGTCTCCCTCTCTGATCACGATAAAGCTGTTTTCTCATTCAAAAGCCCTTTTCCCCTATCCTTACCTGACCGGTTATCTCAACTGTTCACAAAATTCTTTTCACCATCTCTCGGTATTAGTAGTATTGTTAAACACAGCTATAATTAACTTGCAGTTTTTATATTTAAATAATGTCTCGGATATTTATTTACTTATTCTGTTTCATTGTGAAGACCCCAAGGGTCAGTATTGCACCTTCTATGTCCTGCATTTCTCTCCATGCACAGGACAGTGCTCAAGTTCTGTAATCACATAGATCTGTTTGCATTTGTGTTCCACCTCTCACTAGCTGAATCTCTTCATCTGCAGAATTGTTAGGGGGAAATGATGTCCTGAGTTAATCCCATACAGGCTTTTTGGACCCCACCCCCACTCCAGACTAAAGCCATTAAGACATTGGGAAAGACAAATCCCATCACCACCAAGGGAGGGTGGCTGGGACCTGAGGGTGGAGTTGGGCAGCCAGGTTGGATATAAAAACCAAACACGTGGGCCTTGGGGTCTCTGGCTCCCGATCACTCGCCTCCTGGCTTCAAGGCTCCTGGCTGGCGGCCAGCTCTCAGAGTGCCATTTTGGGATTCCTGATTGGCGGATCGGGTAGGACTAATTTAAAACTTTGTCTCCCACTTTTCTCCTTGAACTGTACATTTCCTCATTTCCCCTTCCCTTGTAAATAAACCTTTTATTAACCTTTTGCGTGTGCCTGCAGTAGAGCATTGATAAGTCCTTTTAAGCGCGCGGGTGAGGACCCACAGTCAGGCACCCCGTTTTGTATCGGGGTTGCTCTACAACAGTTTGGCACCCAGCGTGGTTTCCAAGTTACATCCACGGTTGACCAGCCCAAGATGCCTTATTCTGTCCCTTGGTTGTTTTTAATCTGGAAAACAACACTTAAATGTAATAAGGTACAGTGAATCATTCCAAACAAGTGTCTTGCCCTGTGATCTTATGGGGAGGGTGGGAATCTAATTTTAAAAATCTCTTGTCAGTGTAAAGTAGAAATCCAGATTTCTTTGCCCAGGTTTTCTGAACTTCCATGTATGTAAGAAGGAATGAAAATGATGTCCATATAGTTATTGGATCAACTGCTGCCATCTATACATGTCTGCAGTGTTGTAATCTTTGTGGAAAAGAAGTTGTTACCATTTATTTCTTTCCCAAATTACTCTCTCCCTCAAACTATAACTTCTTGTATGTGGACACAAATATTTATCACAATATAAATAATGACTTTTCTCCCAGGAGTATTTTCTCTTGAAAGAAAAAAGTTCATTTCTAACTTTAAACCTCCCTTTCCTACTTTTTCTCTGATGTCCTAAACCAAAATGTCTTATGTTAACAGTAAAGATTTGGGCTTTTATTCCTCTGAGTTCTTCAAAGCTTTTTAAATGCAAATAAATGATTTACATTGATTCAGTGGATAGATAAATTGGTGAACTGAGAAACTGAGTCACTGTTGTATAAGGCCTCCCATTGGCAAGCAAACTGTATGGTGAAGGGAACACTCTGAATTTCTGACTCATGGATCCATGCCTGCTGCAAGCCAAGCAGACAAAGATAAATTCAAGGCCATAAAAACTGTACTCTTTGGCTTCATCATGAGATGTTGTCAAGAGAGTTTCCACAGAGAAAGTTATTAATTTCAGATTGCTGCACTTACAAACTTATTTCCCCACAGAATAACAGTAATACTTTCCATGTGCAATACTTTTTATGTGAATTGCTGACTCTGAATCATCCACTCTGAGAGAGAAGAGAAATATTATGGAAAATAATAGCATAGCTCATGTCTGTATCCCTTTTTTCCCCCAAATTTGGATAAAAATCTTCTCCATTATACATGTAGTTTTCTGTCTTTCACATCCATGAGGCCTGTTAGAGGCAGTACAGAGCTCAATAAATAACCAAGAAGGGTTTGTTAAATCTGTTTAAAGCTTCATTGGTCTAGTATCTCATTTTAGACCTTGTATGTCTCCAGCTAATCTTTACAAAGTTCTAACTGAACCACGTAGTTCCATTTTCTGCTGACTTACTATTTCTTTTAATTCTGACCACATTACTAGGAGTTTCATTAAGGGCAAAGGTAATATCTTCATGTTACAAATGAGGAATTCATGTACTACTAAGTACTACTGTTTGTGGAGCACTTTCTGGGTCTCAAACCCTTTTGTACATCATCTCCTTAATCCTCATAAACCCATTCTGTTGTAGAGCAACCCCAATACAAAACAGGGTGCCTGACTGTGGGTCCTCACCCGCGCACTTAAAAGGACTTATCAATGCTCTACTGTAGGCACACATGAAAGGTTAATAAAAGGTTTATTTACAAGGGAAGGGGAAATGAGGAAATGTACAGCTCTGGGAGAAAAGTGGGAGACAAAGTTTTAAATGAGTCCTACCCAATCCACCGATCAGGAATCCCAAAATGGTGCTCTCAGAGTTGGCCGCCAGCCAGGAGCCTTGAAGCCAGGAGGCGAGTGATCTCGAGCCAGAGACCCCAAGGCCCACGTGTTTGGTTTTTATATCCAACCTGGCTGCCCAACTCCACCCTCAGGTCCCAGCCACCCTCCCTTGGTGGTGATAGGATTTGTCTTTCCCAATGTCTTGATGGCTTTAGTCTGGAGTGGGGATGGGGTCCACAAAGCCTGTATGGGATTAACTCAGGACATCATTTCCCCCTAACACTACCACTGAGATTCTCAGATTGGTTGAATTTGTTCACTCTTCCAGGAATAGGCCTGTAGGATTTTGGATACTGATAGAGAACCCAAAATGAGGAAAATAAATACCTAGCATTTTTATTAATTACAATTAGCTCCTATATACAGAACTCTCAGGGTGGATTCAAAATACAGCTATGTTTTAAAATGTTTATTTAACTAAACCTAGAAATTAGAAACTAAAATAGTCATGTTAATACCAAGTCCAGGTTACCAGCTTGGAAAGGCAATCAAGAAGAATGAGGACTGCAAGAGGCTTGGAAGATCAATTATTTTTTCTGTGTTGGACATGTGGATAGAAGCAATTCCAGATGACTGGGTGTGTTAGAAAGATACAGCAGACCTCAATGCCTGTTACATAGCTACACTGTGCTCGATGCCTTGGGAGAGATCAAAATATGTAAAAGACAAACATTTTTGTCTTTCCAAAGTTTATAGTTTAGTTGCATGATCATAGTTAAGAATGTCAACATGAAAAAAAAGGAAGGATGGAGTGGGGGAGGGAGGAAACAAACAAGCTGGCTTAAAGAGTTTACCTTCCAGCTTTACTTGCTCTGTTCTTGGGTAAGGTATTTATTCTCTTAAGACATAATTTTCTCAGAAAAAAAAAAAAAGACATAATTTTCTCATCTGTGAAAAATTTATCTCCTACAAGCCAGTTATGCTTGCCTCCTTTTAATTTTTCCACAAGTCAAGCTCGCTTCCCCCACCCCTTTGCCCCTGTTCCAGCTGCCTGGAAAGTTTTACTTGGCTAAATCTTCCAAGTTTTGCCTTTTGTGTCACCTCCTCAGTGAGTTTTCAGAAAGTGTCATGTCTGTATTCACGGGTGAGACTGTCAAAACACCAAAGGACGGCATAAAAGTGAGGAAAGCTGTCTATTATTACCACCCCCCTTTAATACTTTGAGATCTAAGGCGTCCTCTAGGATTTAGGGTCAGCAAACTTTTTCAGTATAGGATCAGGCAGCAGGTAAGGGAGGATTTGCGGCCCATAGCAAGTAAATGGGACCAGCCTGTTCCAATAAAACTTTATTTATGGTTACTGTGAATTTCATATACTTTCCACGGCCACGAAGGAGCTACCGGATTTGGCTTCTGCCGTGTGGCCGACTGACGGGCAAGAAGGTGAGCCCCGAGATTCTGTCAGACTCAGTCACTCTCCTCCGGCGCCAAGACCCCTAAAACGAGGGCGAGTTCCCGCCTCCCCCGCACGGGTGTGTGGCGAACGCTAGGTAGCAACGCTCAGGGAAAGCCGAGCGCTTGATGCGCGGTGCGCAACCCCGCTGTCGCCCTCTTCCTAACTCTCCTTTAGGGGTGTCGTTGGCGACGCGTCCCTCTCCGAGGTGCGGGCCCCGAGGGTCGGCCCCGCCCCGGGCGGCGGCCCCGCGGGAGGGCGGGGGTGGCGGCGCGAGGCGGGGGCGGGGCGGCGGCGCCGCGTCGTCGTCGTCGTCCCCGCCTCCTCCCCAGGGGCCGCGTCGGAGCCTCGGCGGCGGCGCTCACAGCCGGAGGAGAACGTCCGGGCTCGGAGCGGCGGCGGCGGCCATCGAGACTCACCCGCGGCGCGTCCCCTTCGGCCTCGCTGCGCCTCCAGGCCGCGGCGCCCGCGCCCCTTCAGCTGTCTCGCTCGCGCTCCTTCCCTGCTGCCGGCTGCGCCATGGCGTTGGCGTTGGCGGCGCTGGCGACGGTCGAGCCGGCCTGCGGCAGCCGGTACCAGCAGGTGAGCAGCGCCCAGTCTCCTCCGGACCCGGGCCCGGCCCTGCCCTCCCTCCCGGCCGCCTCGGGCGTCTCCCGCCCAGCCGGTGGCCAACTCGACGCCGCGGTCCGGCAGGCCGCGCTGGGCCTGGGCGGGCGCGGCGGGGCCCGGCTCGGATTCGAGGCCGCCGCGGGCCGGGCCCGTCCCTCGGCGACCTCGGGCGGGACGCGGGTGCCGGACAGACCTCCGCCCGGCGCCTGCCCCACCTTCCCCGGCGGGCGGGCCCCCGAGCCAGAATCTGCAGCCCTCAGGAGGCAGCATCCCGGGGGCAGTTCAGTTTTCCTTTTTCCACCTTTGAGTTGATGTCATTGGAAAGGAAACACACACACACAAAAAAAGAAGCAGAAAGAAAGAAAAAAAAGGCAAGCATGAAATGGAAAAGGAAACTGGGTGGAGAAAAAAGATTAAAATCTCTTGCTGCCGCCGCCGACAGCTCCCCGCAGCGAGATGCGATTACTCAGGGTTTCAGAGTCTGTGGCAACCCATCCCCCTCGCCTGTTTTAAGACAAAAGTCAAAATGGAGCGAGCGGCCCCTCGCAGTTTGCAGTAGGTTTGGAAAAGGCGATGTTTCACCGAGGTGGTACCTCAAAATGTCGAGCTTCGGTGAAGGCGGCAGGGCGTGTGCCTGGCGTGTGTAAAAGCTTGGAAATGACGTTGAAAGGGATTTAATAGCATGGCTGGGGAAATGTATAAGGGATGATTGGATTATTATCTCGGGTATGATTTATAAATTGAGACCCTAGGGAAAAGAATCTTTAGCCGCTTTTCCCTCGGAAATTTAGACATTCTGCAGGGCTTTTAGAGAAATTTAACCCAACGCTTCGTAATTGTGGGAATTGAGCCAGGTAGTAACTGATGTTGATTGGAACCGCAAATAGCTGCTTGTGTTTTGTCTTGTTGCAAATGCTTTCAGTGTAATTTGCATACAAATGTCGGTTGTGCTTTTATGAAATTAAATGTCTTATCATTAAGGATTTACAGTTTTGTATTTTGGAAATAAGAAAACCAGTTCCATTAAAACATCTAGATTAACCCTGGTGCGGCCAGTTACTGGTTTGTTTTGCTGTCATCAGCCTATGTTGTAATTTCCGCCCTCCTCCAGCCGGACTCCTGAAATGACTGGTTAAGAATTTAGCTTCATGGTTTCATAAATACGCCCAAATTGTGCCAATGCAGTCTAATCCTTAGGTCTCTGACAACCTGGGGTCTAGCACATGCTTTTTTGTATGACCTTGGGCAAGGCTCTGCCTTCCTCGATGCTTTAATAAAATGGGAACGACAGGTGTCACTTAACTGTCATGAAGGTGTTTGCAAATCACTTGTATCCCATAGTGATCTGATTCATTCTTTTCATCTTGCATTGGCTAAGGCAAACAAGCCAAAAGCTGTGGCTTTTCTTTGTACTGCCATCTTGAGCTCTTAGGTAATGCCAACATACTGGTGGAAAATCCTTGGTGTAGTATTTAATAGCTTTAAATATGCAGATTTGAGTTATGTCAGTGACTGGGCATATTTATTTATTTTATTCTTTTTAAAAATAATTATTTTGAAGAGCTAATCTAGAAAAGTGAAAAAAAATTATCTTCCTCGGAAAATTGCAAAATATGAAAGGTAAAAATCTGACAACAAAAAACTGTCACCCTGATAACCTAAGTAATATTTTCATGTGTATCCCCGTGCATTTATAGCTAGGTAAATACACACAAGTGTAGATCAGTATACATGTGTATAGATAAAGAAAGCTAATATTGATTGAGCATTTACTCTGTGCCAAACACAGTACTGAGTGCTTTATACCCATTATTTCACATAATCCTCACAAAATGCCTCTGAGGCAGAGCTTAATATTGTATAGACGACAAAGTCAGGATTCTAAGAAGCTTGGTAACTCGCTCAAGGTCACAGCTTCTAAGTAGTGATTAAAAGGATATACACTCACCTACTTGAAATCCAGGCTCAAGATTTAAATATAGGCATTTGCGTTAGTAGACATACACACATACATGTGTATTTCTTATACATCCATGCGTAAGTAACAAGCACATCTTTGCACACAACTGCAGTTCCATGGGCCCCGATTATATTTACACACACTTGTGCAGATGTGTGTTTACATACCCACATGTCCCCGTGTATGTCTTGTTTTCAGTTACATTCACAAATTTGCATATACGTACATTCATGCATGTGTATGTACAAAGGCACACAATATACAACAGATACACAAAATGAATTCATATTTTATTGTATTGCTTGTGCTTTTTCACATAGTATGTGAGTATCTTTCTATGTCAAATATTTTTATAAAGTCTGCATAGCCTCTGTGACTGAATCATAATTTAATCAACTGCCTGTTGGTCCTTAAGGGTGTTTATAATTTTTTTCTTTCATGAAGTTTCTTTTGCATACATCTTTAACTATTTCTTTAGTATAAACTTTTAGTTGTTGAAATGCTTGGTTAAAGAATATACATATTTAAGATGCTTTTGAATTATAGAATGCCAGTGAATTGTCCAGGCAACTTGATAGGAGCATGATATTCTGGTTGTCACAAAAGGCCTTCTGACTTCTGTTTGATCTAGTTAATCAAATTGAGCTGGCCATCTTGCTCATATTGTATATGTAATGGAAAACTATGATTCATTCATAAATGCAAATATGATTTTTTTGCCTTTATGGTCTTTTTATTGTTCACTGCGTGCACAACCTGAATTTAGCATCATCTCAGACTACCCAGAAAGATTGGGCTCATGGGTTCCCTGTGGTTTTTATTTTTCTCTTTCTGCATTTTGAAAGTAAGATTGCCTGTTCAAACATTGGGAAGCACCATTTGAGAAAGGTCTAGGTAGGTCCAGTGTGAGAAACCAGTGTTATGTGTTGCTCTTGAGTACTTGTATTCCTGCTCATCCGTTCCAAACCCTGTTAGTTTCACTGGAATAGATTTTTGCCTATGTCGTGAATTTTGTCAAATAATTCCAGAAATGTTTTGAGATACTTGGGTTTGAATTCAGTATAAGTGAGCGGGGATGACACTGCTATATAAGCATAAAAATAGGCTGTAGAATGTTTAGTTTTAGACTTGATTCAATTGCTAAAGAAATTGCCTGTTTATAAGCCTCACTTAACATACATTTCTATTATAGTCTAATGACATTGTGGAGCGACTTTGGAAATGACACCTTTTGAGATAAGTTCTCAGGATTATAGAGGATGGTTTTGGTAAATAGAGGAAAGAATTTCATCTCTGACAGGTCATACCATTACTGGTGTTCAAGTGTTAGATGAGATCATGATCCTGGAGGAAGGATCAAATAGGGCCCACGTGAAATTTATTTCTTTTAGTTTCGAAAGTGATTTTTATAAAATGGAATGTCTTACCTGAGAGTGGTAAGTCAAGATTTTAAGGTTGTTTTGCTCTATTTGTGGCCTATAAGGTCAGCGATCAAAGAAAACTGTCATAAAAATTTTGAGATTGATGAATTATTTCTTTAAAATTGTTTTAAATTGTGGTAAATACATATAAAATTTACCATTTTAACATAGCTTAGATAAATGGTTGGGCGGCCATTATAACCATCCTTGTCTAGAACTTTGTCTTCCCCAGTCAAACTTCTTAAATATTAAATGATTACCCATGTCCCCTCTCACCCAGCCCTGACAGCCTCCTCTCTACTTTCTATGAATTTGACTACTCTAAATAACTCCTCTAAATTTGTTCTTTTGTATCTAATTTATTACACTTAGCATAATGTTCTCAAGGCTCCTGTAGCATGTGTCAGAATTCCCTTCTATTTGAAGACTGAATAACATTCCTCTATATGTATATACCATGTTTTGTTTATTCATTCATCTATGGATGGATGTTTGGGTCCCTTCCACCTTTGGATCATCGTGAATAAAGCTGCTGTGAACATGGATGTACAAATATCTTTTGAGTCCCAAGAGGTGATTGCTGGATCATGTGATAATACGACTTTTAATTTTTGAGGAACTACCATGCTATTGTCCGTGGTGGATGCACCATTTTACATTCCCACCAGCAATGTGCAGTTCCTCTACATACTCACCAACTATTTTATGTTTGTTTTTTCTTTTTAATAGTCATCCTTATGGGTGTGGAATAGTATCTCATTGTGGTTTTGATTTTCATTCCCTAATGATTGAACATTAAATGTGCTTACTAGCTTTTTGTCTATCTTCTTTGGAGAAATAAGTATTCAGGTCCTTTGCCCATTTTTTTTTAATTGGGTTGTTTGTACTTTGTTGTTGAATTTTAGGAGTAGAGTTTGGTTTTTTTTTTTTTTTAAATAAAAATATTTACATTTTTAGCTTTATGCAATGAAGATTTCAAACACATACAAAAAATAAATAGTACAATAAAACATACATACACCATCACTCAACTTCAACAATTACTAACAAATGGCTAATCTTGTTTCATTTATACTTCCCACCATTATTTTGTAGCAGATCCTATAAATCATTTCATCTATAAATATTTCTGTGTATAACTCTAAAAAATTATGGCCTGATGTCTTAAGCAGGTATTACCACATGAATATTTTGTGAGAGCATTTTTGTAATGTGTTTTGAATATGGACACAGAATTTGTGAATGTCAGGAGCTGGGAACATAACTGTTCTTAGTATGCTTTGTGGTGGTGGTGTAGAGGTGATAGATTACTGTTGATCTTTTCTTATTTTCTTGCCTGGTCTAATGTTGACTACTTGTTAGGGGAGATTTAATTGATTCAATCATTTTGTCTTACCCTGGAAACTGCAGAACGCCCTGGTTTGTGTAGAAGCCAAGGGCCAACTGAACTGTTCTAGGAAATCCTGCATTATATAAACAGACGCCACCCACTGGTTTGCCTGCATATAATTTCACATTACTTTTTCCTAGACACCAATTATGTTACATTGCTTTACATTAAATTATGTTATAAAATAAATCTTAGGGGCCTC